ACTTCTCTGCCTTCCTCCCTGGAGAAGCTGCCCTGTGAACTGGTTAAGCCACAGACCCGAGAGCCCAACTATCAGGGTCAAAATCTTGACTCTGGCACTGTAACTATTAGTAAACCTCCTTCAGCCTCACTATACCCATCTATAAAGTGGGTTAATAACAATACCAACTCAGAGAATTGCTATTAGAATGAGCTGAAACAAGGAGAAATGGCAATGTCAGCACGTGGCACAGAGTAAGGGCTCCATAAAGGTTGGCTATTACTATCTCCAATGCCATCCCTGCCCCTCTCAAGTTTTAGCCAGTCTAAAAGCATTTTTGTGGGTGCTCTCCCATCCCTGCTAGGTGTGCTGGCACCCCACCCCGGCCTGCTTAAGTTCAGGTCTCGGCTTAGTCATAGCTTCCTCCAGGGAGCCTTCCCAGATGCTCTGAGCCACAGCACTACTCCACCAGAAGGTGTTGCCTCATTACGTGTGTCCTCTCCCCTTCTCTGTACCCTCCCCCAGGCTGTAGGACCTGTGAGGTCAGGGACCTGGTCTCTGTTCCTCTTGTAAGCATCTCTGCTCTTAGCACATAGTAGGTATTCTACAAAGATTTGGATAATGTTGCTGAATGACTCTCATTATCCCAGTGTGTTCAGGAAGCCTCCCCTCTCTTGTTCTGTGCAGGCTTCTCTAGTACTCAGATCTCTAAGCGGTCCATGTGCCCCTCACCGACATGGACATTCGCCCGGCATGTGGGGCGGGGGCCAAAGGGGGTACTGCTGAGTATCACAAACAGGAAACGGAGCTTCTTCAGAAAAAAGGAACTTGCTCAAAAGGCTCCACTGTCTATCGTGAACACTGGGGAGCGGTGAGGCTTAGGACTCTTGTCAAGCTAAATGACAACTCCTCCGGGGCCTTGCTGAGGAACATGCTTTGAGAGGCCAGAGAATCTCGTAAAGGTGTCTCACCCAGATGGCAGGATGGAGGGCGATCAGCTCACATGAAAATCAACGCTTTGGAGAGGGGAACCCAGAGGACCCAGGAGACCACAAGAGGCAGGAATTCATAGGCTCTTCCACATGAGCAACTGAGCAAAACTTCTGCCCCAGAGAAAAAAAGTCTTCAAACTATTCCAGAAAGTGGCTGGGAGTCCTATCATTTTTATAAAGAATTTACAAGGTACCAGAGATGACCTAATCCAGTCAGGACTGGCGACGAGGAAGGGGACGCAGGGGGCTAAGCCTTGTTCTTACCTCGTAGTGGCCGATGGTATTTAGCTTGGTGATTCCATCTTCAAGAATCACGGAGGAACTGTCAATATCCAGAAGTTCTTTCTGTCGTGTGCCCACCTGAAGCTCTGGAGAAAAGCAAAAAAGAGCGTTTTGTTCGCTTTTAAAATGACAACGAGAAATTTTAAATGCTGCCCTGTCACTTTTGCAAATATTATTTATAAACAGGTTAAACTTAAATAAAGTGGCAAATATTTGTTTGAATGTTTAGAATTATATCAGCCAGACCGGGAGCAAGGGTTTTGTTTTTGTTTTATGGTTAGGGCTTGGCTTCTAGGGCGACTTTTCCCCGAAGCTTTTCCTCTGAGGCTTAGCCTGGAAGTGAGGCCAAATGAAGACCGAGGAATGCCTCCTGAGAGGGACTAGCTCTTCAGAAAACTCCCAAAGCGAATCTGCACGCTCACACGCATGTGTCTGTGCGCACAAGCAGGCACTATCTTCTGTAGGTCACTGGGTGGGGGCGCTCGTGGGCTAATATCCCAAAACACAGGGCTCAAACTCCTTCACAGAGGCTGCCAGCTTGTGCCCTAGGCTCAGAACGTAGCCCACAGATGTGTTTTTTCTCTTTTTGTGAAACTGTACCATGTTTTACTTATTATTTTAATGTCAATTCAGCACCAACATTTAATGATCAGGATGTTGCACATAAAAATTTGGATTTATGCTTTTTCTTTTAAAAAACGGGACCTTGCCCTGGCCAAGTTTTCTCAGTGGTTAGAGCACCAGCCCGTGACCAAAGAGTCACAGGTTTGATTCCCAGTCAAAGGCACATACCTCAGATGAAGGCTCAATCTCCAGCCCGGTCCAGGCGGCTGGGGCGCCTGCAGGAGGCAACTAATCGATGTTTCTCTCTCACATCGGTATTTCTCTCTCTCTCTTCCCACCCCTTCCTCCCTCCTCTCCACTCTCTCTAAAAAAGTCAATGGAAAAAAATATCCTCTGGTGAGGATTTAAATAAAATAAAATAAAATAAAAGAAATAAAATAAAATAATAAAATAAAATAAAAAATAAAATAAAATAATAAANCTCTGGTGAGGATTTAAATAAAATAAATAAAATAAAATAAAATAAAATAAAATAAAATAAAATAAAAAAAATAAAATAAAATAATAAAATAAAAAAAAAATA